CTCGGGGGCGTGGGCGTGGCTGACGCGGGACCGCGCGCCCGGGGCGCTTTTCCCAGAAGCCAGCTGGACCTCTTCGGGGGCCTGCGCCCAGCCCCTCTGGGGACCTGCAAACCGGCCCTTTGGGGTATCTAAACACCGACCTTTTGGGGACCTGCGCCCGGACACCTTGGGGGACCCGCGTCCGGCCCCTAGTGGCCTGCACCCAAACCCCTCGGGCGACCTGCAACCCGGCCCCTCAGGGGATCTGCACCCCAACCCTTTGGGGGACCTGCACCCCAGCCGCCGCTGTAGCTCTGAGAAGATCGGTCACGTCCAAGGCCACCCTGGCCCCTGGCACCGCGACAGAGACTGTGGCCAAGACCTTGCTGTCCAGGCACAGGTGCTGCAGCGAGGAGTACTACATGAGGCTGGGATACATCTTAGAAAACAAAACAGCCTCAAAAGTAAGAAAGTGTATCAAACAAGGGGGAGAAAGAGTACCCCCACAGGATGGGGGACTATGGAAGAAATCAGCTAAGTAAAAGAGGGCCCTATGCCCAAAGCTACAACAATTTAAGGAGCACAGTAGATTGCAACTCAAACTAAGACTTAGATCCATGAGTCTACAATGGTAGGAATCCACAATTGTGTGCAGAAGAGGTGAGGCTGCCACGGAGGAGGCCAAATGATTGTATAGTACCAGCCCCCAGGATCCGTTCGGTCACAGTGCTCTGCAGTCCAGGACTAATAAAAATACGTAATAACACACAGACACTCTACTATCCGCTATGGGCTGTGTGTACATAGTGACCACCTTGTTCAACAAAGCACAGTGGAGAGGAGAAAGTGGTTTTACAGCAGCTGGAGCAGGTCTTCCCCTCCTTCTGGAGCTCAAGCTCACCATTAGCAGGCCTATGTCACTTTGGTGTTACTCTGAATCTTTGATATGGTTGCAGAGATGGCACGTTCCCTCTGTGGAAGTCTTCTGCAGAACCAGTAATCCTAGTCTTACCATCAGAAAAATATCATGCAAATTCCAGTACTGGCAAATCCTTGAAAGTACCTGACCAGCCATCATCAAAGCTGTCAAGGTCATCAAAGAGAAGGAAAGTCTGAAAATGTTCCCCAGCCTGGGGAATCCTCAGGGAACCTGAAACACACATGTAGGGAATTATCCAGGAGGGGACTTTGGGACAAAGTGCATCAAGTCAAAAGTATGGAAAGCTGAATGGGCATGAACTTTCACTGGTAATGAAGTATCAAGATTGGTTGCTTGTGCCCAATAAACTGTGCTGATGTGAGAGGGTAGTGAATGAGGGCCTGGGAATTGGGCTCATGGGAATTCTTTGTATCATCTTTGCAACAAACATTTTTTTTGTAAATCTAAGACTGTTCTTAAAATTATCTTTAAAAGAAGTAAATAAGAGATGAGGGCTGGCATTTAAAAAATGGGTTTACTGTAAGGGCCTGTTAGATAAGAAAACCACTGCAGGAGGAAACAATGTGGGTATTGGGATTAAGACCACATGCACCCTAGGGGTGTGCTGACAAAGGCCAGACAGGCTCACTGCTCTGGAGAAAGTTGTGAAAGAGGAAAGAGAGTGAAGCTACCGAAGGGCAGTAGACTTGGCAGGGCCCTCTGGTTACAATAGGCTTTAAATTTTATGCTTAGCTGGGAGACTTTGGAGATTTTTAGCAGAAAAGCAACATGATGTGCCCCGCACCCCCACCCCCTGCTGTGTGTAAACCCACCTGCTGTGTAAATTAAGGGGTAAAGATGGAAGCCATTGAACAGATTTGGCATCTGGGACAACTGTGTGTCAGCTCAACTCCAGCAGGGTTTCCACATATTTGGTTCAACATTGCTTTCTGAGTGGGCCTAGGAAGGTGCTTCTGGTTATTATTCACAGTCGAGTAGGGAGGGTAAGTCATTTTCCCCTTCTCAATACCCAAGAGGTGGCACTGGCCTCATCCAACCCAATGAAGGCCTGAGTAGGAGAATAAGGCAGGGTAATGTGGCATTCCTCCTCCCTCTGCCTGACTCTGACTGAGTCTTCAGTCCTGTCTTATTTTTGCACTTGGACTCCAACTAGAACTCACACAGCTGGCTCTTCTGGGTGTCCAGCTGACTGGCTGGGCATCTCGGGACTTCTCGGCCTCCGTCACTGTAGGAACCCATTCCTTGTGATACACATTGCACATACATTAGAGATCTCCCACCCCGTTGTTCAGTTTCTTTGGAGAATCTTGACTAATAGAATAGCAGGGAGGATGGCAAGAACAGTGAGGTTCCACACACACCCACAAGCAAAGACTGGCATGAATCGCTGATGGAAGGGAGGGAGAAACGGCAGTCAAGGATCCAGGTTTTACCCAGAGCAACTAAATAAAAGCCGCGCCTTATTCTGGGGTGGGAGACTCTCTGAGAAGTGAGAATATATATGGTCTGGGAGGGGCCTCCGGTGACTCTCCTATTTTAACAGTTTCTGTTTTCAGTTGTTGTCACCAAAAAGGCAGCTGGTTAGGTCAGTCTGGGATGCTGACATAAATTTGGAAGTGTCCAGTGCACAGATGGTGTGCAACTAAAATTGGTAGGTCTGAAGCCTAAGCCCCCAAAGCAGTCTGCAGTCCAGAGGCCAGGAAGACCGAAGAATAAAGAAAGGAGATTGAGAAGGCCTGCTCAGTGAGGTAAGAGGTGAAACAAGAGAGAACGACTTTCCAGAGGCCAAATGAAGACAAGTTTCAAGAAAGAATTTGCTGGGTTTGGTGGTGAAATCCTGTAATCCTACCTCGTTCTTGGAGGCTGAGGCAGGAGGATCCCAGGCTGGAGTCCAGCTTGGACAACTAAGCAAAACCCTGTCTCAAAATAACAAAAGGGCTGGGGATGTAGCTTAGTGTGAAGGCTTTAAGTTTAATCTTCAGAACTAAAGGGAAAAAAAGAAACAAGAAAGGCAAGAAGGGAGGAAGAAAGGGAGGGAGGGGGGAAAACAATGATTCACTCTATTAAATGTTCTTGGAGTATGAAAAATTAGAGCTGAATATGAAACAGTTGGCTTATCAAATTTTTAAGGGAAGCGAGACAATGCAGGGGACAGGAGTGAGTGACGCTCTCTCTGGAAAGAGGTTCCTCAGCAGCTGAGCTGAGCGGAGCTGGCCTCAGTGCGCACCGCACAGGGCAGCTTCAGCAGGAGTGTGGGCGAGCTGCACCAGGGCGCAGACTCCGGTCCGGTGGCGGCGGGGGCCTATTTCGTGGGTAGAATATGGATCCAGGCCTCTCACCGAGAGTGAGGAGTGGGGAGGACGTTTGGAAAGTGAGGAAGAGTGTGAGATTGCTTTCTAGGGCAGCGGGAAAGGAAATGGACTTTGAAAACTGGATTTTTGGACGTAGACAAGAGCTGCGGGAGGGCAGGGGCGGGCATCGAACACAGCAGAGCTGGTCTGGCCAGCTGTGTGCTCTCAGCAGCCTCATTTATTTACAGGGGTTCAAATAAACCTAGGGAGAGCCTAGAAGGGCGATGTCGAACCATGCAGAGCTTTCAGTGCTGCGAGCAGCCCGCTGCGGCGCCGCGGGGGCCACAGTTCACACTGCTGGCCAGGAGGAACCAACGCGCCAGGCTGCTATGGACGAGGAAGGCTTGAGCACGGATGTAACAAAATGACTCTGTCCACCAGGCCTGCCGTGCCGGCCCTGCCCCTGGGGAGCACTGAGACAGGGCGAGGTGGCACCGCGCCTGTAATCCCAGCTCTTGGGACTCTGTAAACAGGAGGATCAATATGAGTCCGATCTAGTAGTGAGACCCTGAACACCCTGTAGACCCTTCCCTAAAAAAAAGAAAAAAGAAAGAAAAAGAAAGAGAAAGAAAAACAAAAACAAAAACGACTCTATTAAATGATAGCGCCTCGGCCTGCTAAGAAAGGACATGAACGACAGCGTGGAGCCAAAGGCAAAAGAATGAGAGGGTGATGGACTGCATGTGCCGGAAGAAACTGTTGGAGCGGCGGGGAGAGATTCCCTCGGGAAAATGGGAGAGGGCTGCTGCTGAAAGGGCTGTCTGAGCTGCAGATGTGACAGCACACGGGAACGGCGATGGCAGGGTCTAGAGCACAGCGGACCCGAATTCCTCTCTGCGAGCTCTCAGGCCGCCCAGTGCCAAGGCCCCAGGATGGTCTTTATAAGTTATTCTTGCAGGTCAGCTGCCACCCTGAGCCTGGTTGGACTCTTAGAGAGGTGGGGACTGACAGGGATCTTTGGGCAAAGCCCAGATAAAGGAAGGTCAGCCCTTGGAGAAGGTTGTAACTGTCTCATGAGGGCGTCTCAGCGGCACCACCATCTAGACATGACTCGCTTTCCTAATTTTGAGGGCAGAAAACCCTCAAACACTCTGGGATGGAAGGTCATTTAACCCAAGTGCCCTCCTGAGTGGCACTGGGCAACCCCAAAGCTCCCTTAACTCCACACCACTCCACTCCGCCCCTTCCCCTTCCGTCCCTCCCTTCCCCTCCCCATTCTCTTCTCCTGTCCCCCAGACCTGTGGCAACCCCCAGTCCACTCTGTCTCAGTAGCTCATATAAACAGCATCACAGAACATGCATCCTCTTGTGACTGCCTTACATAACATAATGTCTTTACTCTTTATGCACATTATAGCAAGTGTCAGAATTTCTTTTCAAATATTATAATGATAATATTCCGCTGTCTGTATATATCAGATTTCATGTATCCACCCCTCTGTCTGTGGATGCTTGTGGTACTTTCACCCTCCAGCTGCTGTAAATAATGCTGCGAAGAACTTGGGTGCAAACGTATCTCTCTGCTTTCATTTCT